GCTGCACGCAGCTCGCTACCACTGGTTGCGCTGCCCACACTGCTGACGCTCCCAGCTCATCGCTATGTGCTATCATTTCTTGCACATATCTTTCTACCACATGAACATGGATGAAGCACTTGCGTCTGAGGCGTGTCATGGTGAACTCTATCTAGTGAGGCTGGCGTAGACATCCTCCGTGCCTGCCCCCTCGCAGTACATCGCGCCAGTGCTACAGTGTCCCGTGGGTTCGGCCCAAGCGCGCTACGTTCGCACATGCATGGCTTGTCCCCGTGGCGTCACCACTGTCTGCAATCAACCAACAAATGCGCGTCGGCGCAGAGACGGCCTTGGGAGGCTCGCAGCACTGGTTTCGGAACGCACTATTCCACCGCCAGTTCCTGTTGCTGTGCTACGCGGGTGGAGGCGGGAGCGGTCGCAAATCTCGGCGCAGATGCGAGACAGCACCGCGCACGCCCGTGCCAAGCCAAACAAGCAGGCTCGATCGCTGAAGCAACGCTTGACGGCCACCAGCAGTGTTCCGGATCTGACGCAGAACAATTTCAGGTAGTCAAACATAGACCACATCATACGGCGCTCGTCCAGCCGCAATTGGGGGGGGGGGAGGTGGAGAAGAGATCCGGGGCGTTCAGGATCGGTTAAAAGCGTCGGCGCTGGCTGTCGGGCAGGCGGCCTACATGAATCTCCGTGGCGAGTACATGTTTACAGGCCTTCGCTACGGGCAATCATTCCTCTGCATCACCATGCATTGGGGACGTGGGCGCGAGGATGCGCTTCACGCCAACGCGTAAAAAGCGCATGGGCCCGGTCGTCAGTGTGCGGATAGGGGCGGCACCCGTACTTTTCTGGGCAACGGCACGCGAGCTGCGCAGTTGGTGGATGCAAGCAACGAGCTGCGTGTGACAAGGATCACCATCGCACTTCGCTTAGCTGTGGCCAGCTTGGCAGTCTCACCGAGAGCGCGTTGTTTTCAGAAAATGGGTTCTGAAGCTGCCACCAAAGCACGATTGCAGCACGCTGTGAGGTAGGGGGGCAGGTTGGCCTCTGCAGCTGCTGTGTGCGTTCCTGTTCTGCGGCTTGTGGAGAGGAATTATGCAAGCGGGTCGCGAGGAAACGCAGTGCTCCTCTCGCATACCTTCGCCGCGCTGCCGGGGCTAGGTGTGCACAAAGCCAGAAATGATTTGGGAGACAAAGTGGACCGATTGTTGCTCCATGTTTAAAGGGTCAAGGTCAAGGTCAAGGTCAAGCCTGATGCCCGAAGGCGGCCCATTTAAGGCGCAGGCAGTGAAACAATCAAATGCGACGACTAATTGCGCGGCTCATTGCTTCGTAACGAAATGAATGAAATCATCTGTTTGTCGTAACCACCATTTTGAATCAACAGCTGCGGACTTCCAATTTCCCAATTGACGCCAACGACAATACATCATTTAGAGGGCAGTGTTCAATGGCAACAACGAGAGCCTGAGGGCCTGCCTGTTGTTTATGCATTTTGCAACAATCGACCGAGATGCACACGTCGCCGCTAGTTTGCGCCAGGGCGGTTTCTAGCTGATTCGCGATGCGAGCCAAGAGGCTTCCAAATGCGAGCTTCAGTTGTTAGGGGGGCTGCTGCAAATGGCTGTCTTGGGAAACGGGCAGCAACACGAGTCATCAAGCAACCGGCCATCTGACTTATGGATCCGCAGGAATATCGCACATTTCGAATAATACCAAAGACATACCAACCTTGCGGTTGAAAAAAAGCTTACTTCATTGTTCCAAGCGCTTAGAATGTCATGCCGCCCGCGGCCCCAATCATGCCCTGCAAGCGGCCCAAACATGGCACGAAGTCCTAGCCGCCATTCAGAGCGAAGCCTTTGTACGTGCTTGGGGCGGATGGTGGTGTGAGGAAGCCCAGCGGAGTGGTGCGCGCTGGCAATGGGCGACGTTTTTCGCCGTCTCGTCAGGCGCACGCTGGCGCAACAATTCGCGGAGCTTTCAGGCAGGCCCGTGCGCCGTTCCAGTAAGCGCTCAGCACTGGCGGGCCCAAGTGCGTGCATTGCCGGCTGCCACGGTATCGGACCCCCCTACAACCATCTTAAACATAGACGGCGTGGGGGGAGTACCAGCACATCTCCCGGGCAACGATCATGCTTCGCTCTCGGACCTCCTCCGTTTCGTAGCCTCGTTCACTGCCCGCTCACGTGGATGCCGGGGCTGCACGCGCTCGGCCAGCACGCGGCGCCTCGAAGTAGTACTGGAGCATGCTTTCCGGTCAGGCGGCAACGATGTCGCCATGAGCTCGATATATCACGAAAATATCGATGCGTCGCGTGCGTTAACACAATTGTTTTTGGTTCTCGATCCTTTTTCGGCGGGCAAGCGGGAACCACACCGGCACTGGTGGCCGGACGGCATCACGCCGTCAGCGGTAGGCGGCTGGCGGGGGGAGGGGCGACCTCCCAGCGCTCGTCGGCAAGGACCTCGCTGAGATCCCGCGTCAGGCCATCAACGTTGGCTGTGCCTGCAATCGGGAAAAAGAGAGGAGGCTGGCTGCGAACGCCCGGGCTGCGGCGAAGGAGAGGAGCGCAGACCAGCGGGCTACCCACGCAGAAGTGACATTGGCGCGAAGTGCTGGGGGGATCTCACGTGCCCGGCAACGGGCGAGGAGGCGGAGGGACTGTGCTGCTTCCTCGCTCCAGCGTCCGCCAACCTCGAGTGCGAGGACGACGAGCCGGCAGCGTGGGGAGTTGAGGAGCTCTGGGTAGGTCCGCTCGTTTGCTCGGCGCGGTGCGGAGGGCTGCTCCTTGTGTGTGTCGTGAAGGCAGCTGTTTGAAAGCATGCCGTAGGATGCGCTCTTGGCAGGGTTATTGCAGTGTGTGTCGTTGGTGGCGGCGTGGCTGGCCCGCCCAGTCCAGAGGCGAGACGAGGGTAGTGTCGACTGCAAGCTGGACACCGCCCCACGCAGGCAAGCCATTGGCAATGACCTCGATGCGCCTGTCGTCGTGGCGTGCGGCTTGGACGTTAAGGTCGCGGAGCAGCACATTGGTGGCGATGGTTGCGCCAGCCTGCGGAAGACACGAGCGGCCGCCCGTTCAAGAGGTGCGCCCCGTGCACGCAAGTGGCCTGACCCGGGGCATGCAGCGCGATGGTCCCCGTAAACATCGTGCCGTCGCGGCAGCGACATGTGGCGGATTCGAGTCGAGGAGGAGGGGGAGGCGCACGCGCCGAAGCACTATGATACGGAAGGTTGCGGAGCTCAGGCGGAGCTCTGGCGCCGTGGGCGACACTGTCAGGACGCGTGCGGAGAAGGGACCAACCAGCTTGGGACTTGCTGCCACCCTCGCTGCAGGGGCCCGGCTCCTCCTCGCGTTATGGGGGAGGTGTTGTTGCGAGGTCTTCCCAGCGCGGCAGCTGGAATCTTGCTCTGGACAAGGACAAGGCCCGGCACGGTCAAGGTGGTGGAGGAGCGACCGGGCGAGTGCGGGTTCAGGAGCAACAATGGCTGGCAGTGAATCGGCCCAGAACCCGAAGTACGCAGCCGGCGCATGCTCATGTGCGCTGCGGAGGCCCAGCCCGCTATGTCGGAAGCTGCGTCGGGCAGGGGGGCTCAACGTGCTGCTGCACCGCTACAGTAGCAGGGCCACGAGACATGCGAGGACGGCGTGACCTGCGGCAAAGGCGGCGGTCTGTGCTGGAGGCACGACCCGGAGGAGGTAGGTGGCCCGGGGGGATGCGCAAAACAGGAGCAGCAGCCAGACGACTTGGAGGTCGGGGGCTGTGGGGAACACTTGGAGGAGAGCCCGTTGCTGGGCAAGGGTAGTGTTGAGATAGCCAGAGACGTGCTCGTCAGATGCAAGGGGCGTGGCTGACCGGTTTGGCGACCATGCCTGTGTGTGCTTGTGTGGGGGAGACCGCAGCAAGCGCCACGGCAGGCTCCGAGTGGTCTTCGGAGAGTGGCTTAATGTTGCCGGCTCATCCCTTTAAAATTTTCCTGTGAGGCATGCGCGGCATCGAGGTACCGGCCAACGCTGCGGCCTCCCTCTCTACCGGAGAGCGCAACTCGCGGCCGATGCCAAGCTTGTGAGCCCAATCTCACGGGATGGCACGGCTCGAGCAAGGGCAGATCGCGAGCCCGATGCGGCACTCCTACCCCGACCTCTTGGCTGCCCGCTGCTGCAAGCTGGTCGTCGGAGGGCTGGAGGTGGGCGGGAGGCTTACGGTGGAGACGGTCACCTCCTATATGCCCGCGCCTGTGCGGCCCCCAGGCGCTTGAGATTCGCTACGTGCGCATACGCCTCGTCGCTCCTTGAGCTCCCCTTTGTGAGTGCTGAGCAGGGCCTCTGGCGCAGGCTCGTGGGACCGAGCACGTTCCCGACAGCCGCCACCCAGCGCATTAGGAGAGCTGGAGGTCCCTGCATCAGGGCTTTCGCCTGTTGGGACGCAGTGGTTTAGCCATGTTGCGGTTGCTGGGGAAATAGAAAAATGTTCAATTGTAGCTGCATGTGGCATTGCGTAGACTTCCCTTCCTGGCTTACAGGTGTGCGTTTGGTAGCGTCGCCCTCACCCCAGGAAGGAACGGCACACATGACAACTAAGAAAACCTGCGCACAAAATCATCGATCGTGCCTTTCATGCGTTCACCGTGTTCACCTCGGGGCGTTGGGGGACTCCCCCGCTTTAACAAGGCCCCCGACCTTAGAAACTTCTACATAGGATGCGCGTTGATGGGGCACATGCACAACGCACACAGAGTTGGTTAATTTGCCCCAGCAACCCAGCATTTTCCATTGCTTCATACCCACGTGTATTGTAGCGTATGAGAGAGACACATCGTCAGGGTAAGGCAGAGCTTACACACACACACACACATGCAATGACAGCGGAAGCGGCCATGACTTGCTCCTTGGCATGGATGAGAACAACATGGTGGAAAGGCAGGTCTGATTTGCTTAGAGTTTAGATTAGGGTTTCAGGTTCATGATGAAGGGAAGTCAGAGACACGACTCGAGATGCAGGACATGGCAGCGGCAAGCGCGTCTTTTTGCCGAGATGTTGGTCGACATGCGTTGGCAGTTTGCAGGGGCCAGAGCTTTCACAAGGATGTTTCAGAACCTGCTGGATGATGTGCCTTCAGGGCCATCTTTCCACAACATGGACAGGTACAACTTCGCGAAGCTCCTGGCCGAAATGTCGATGGATATGGAATTGACGCGCCGCAACACAACCTCATGGGGTATTGCAGCCACAGAACTTTTCGAGGATGTTGAACAAGCCTTGGTGGATCGGTTGGGTGATTTTGCGCATTCTGTAGGGTCTTCACTTGCCGTCCCGTTGAGACTGCAAGAGGAACGCGAGGATGATAGTGGTGAGATGATACCAGTACCAGATGCGGGTAAACGAGACGCGGTGGTGCTACGTCAACCTCATCACATGCTCTTTGTGAATATGCCTCTGGGGGTTTATGTTCGAAACTCTCCGCACTTGTACGAGATGCTGTCTCGGTTGCGGCATTTGCGGGAAGGCACCGGTGTGGAGTCAGTACACCAGATGCTGGCTGTGTTGGACGAAGGTGGCCATTGTTATTCAGTTCTGGTGTATGCAATCATGGCTGCAATGCAGCTTCTCTTTCAGGTTGCCCGTGTTCGCACTGCAGCAGCATGGAAGCTGCGAGAGCTATGGCCGTTGAACGGTTCAACCTTGGACTCCTCATCCTGCCTCTTCTGCGAGAGGTTGATGTTCCGAGGAATATGGGTTCCTCGAGAGGTTGATGAAGTGGCCGCGCGCCTGCAGCACTCCTTCAATTCATTTTCCCGGGAAGCGGACGGCGTGCGCAAAGTTTTACGGTTTTATGCCAGATCGCAAGGCACCAAGATAGCTGCCTTGGCGCAGCAAGAGCAGCATGTTCTAATACTCGTGGCCCGGCGTTGCCCGCAACAAGAAGACTGGGCATTTCCCATGCAGTTTTTCAGCTGGCACGAAAGCAGAGAGGGAGTCTTGGAGCGTGAGTTGGTGCTTCCCCCATTTGTAGCCTACGAGTTTGAGTCGGATTTGGAGCTGTGCAGCGCGATGTCTGCTTTGGTCCGCGCGGAGAAGGTGGCGGCATTGGAAGACAGATGGGGCTTGCCTCCGAAGTTCTTTGCCTCCGAAGTTCCAAAGTTATTGCGTTGGCTTGCAGACCCTCGGTCGATGCTGTTGCATGACTTGCTGGGGTCCCCTCCCTGCATCACCGTGCGGTTCGTTCGAGGGATCGCTTTGGCCGATCCTGTTCGCACCCTGCTGGAAACAAGCGACCCGAATGTTCCATGTTTGCTGGAGTTCCCGCCTTGCTGGCGCGTCGTTGGAGGCGAGCAGACGGGAGGCTTGCTTGTACGACAGGGTCCTGGTTTGGACTCTGCTCTATTCCCGGAGCGCCTGGAGCATGGTGCACTCATCGCGGAAGTAGACGTTCAAGGGGCAAGGATGCAATACCGCAAGCTGCTGGGTGGAGGACCGCCGCAAGGCTGGATCACGAAGTTCGTGCAGCAGAGTAGCAAGCTTCTCATAGTGCGTGAGCATTGAGGAGCCTAGCTGCGGTTGCGTGTGGCGATGCTCGTTCAACATGACGGCCACTTTGACTTGACTGGGGTGCCCCGAAGATATCGACACGCGCCTAAGCAGAGGGAGCAGATGCTGGCGGCGACGGTTTCCGTGAGAGGCAGTGACATGCTTTGAGCAGCTTTGTGTGGTGTTGAGGTCTGACCTCGACAAGGGCCATATGGTGTCAAGCTAAGCAGCGACTGGTTGGTGTCGATCCAGCAGACAGATGAATGGTGCAGCAGGGCGAAGACTCCCGTTTGTCACGTGCCACGTTGAACATGCTGGAACTTCACCTAGCTGCAAAAGAGGTTCCGCACTAGCATTGGTTTGTCTGATTGTGTCAAGTGCACAGCTGCATGCTGCATGCTTGCTATGTTTCGCTATGTCTTCAGACGGTAGGGAGCCACTCCACATCCTTGAAAAATCCCCCCACCAAACCATGCGCTTAGGACCCTTTTTTGGGGGAGCTCAAACCCTTCGTGTACCCCGAGACTACAGAGTTGGGGTTCTAGGTTAACTGCTCTCCAACATACACGGGCGTGCACTTGTGCCCGCAGATGCGTGGACAAGCAACTCTGCGGCACTTTCAGGTTTTCTGGTTGCGCCGAAGGGCCGGCAAACAGCAGAAGGGAAGCACGTTTGTTTTTTGTTATTTCTCTGGACATGCACACCCTGAAAGTAAACGAAGGGCTCGGCAGAGCCAACTCAGCAAGGCCTTCTGAGGCCCTAGCGTGTGCGATCAGACACTTTCCTAGAGCCTGGGAGTCGCAAGCATCGGGGGCTCATTCTAAAGTCCCTTGTGTTGTAAAGGCATGGGTTCCCTAGAGCCCTAGAGCCCAAAAACTTTCAGACACCAGGCATGCACGAGCAGACGCCTGGCGTGCGGCACAGGCTCCATCGCTTCGTGAAGTGGCTTGGCCGCCATTGGCTCCTGTGGGGTTGGAGTTCGTGGAGCTCTCGCCAATTTCAGAAGTAGTGTTTAGTAGGGTTTAGGGATGTTTAGGGTTTAGGGTTTGGGGCTCAGGGTTTAGGGTTTAGGGTTTAGGGTACTAAGAAAGCGAGGGGAGGGTGTCTAAACTAGCCCTATTGGCAGCCGAAACTCCTCAGCCTCTCTGAGCCCATAAACTCCACCACGCATCTTTGGGGCTGCCCTTGCTCCTTGGAAAAGAATCCCACAACGGCCCCCACCCAAACCCTGAACCAACTTTCCCAACAGTCTAACGCTCCTCAGCAAGATGGCGTAGTAGGCCATGGAGTTTCGGAGGAGGGTTGAGCCCTGTTCCATGTGGGGGTTGGTGAATGCTTCTGGGGTTTCAAGAGCAGATAATGCGGTGCGGGCTTTTTGGGCAGCTGCTATCGTGGTCCTAAACCCTCCTAAACCCTAAACCCTTGGGAACGCGGGAATCCTGCCACTCCTCAGATGACAGACCTTCGGTCCAAGTCCTTGCCTGCCCCGTGTGAGTGTGAGAGCCGAAACCCAAACCGAGGGCTCTGGAGTGCTCTGTGCAGAAAGCATTCTCTCTGCAGCTGCCTCGTGGAGCATGGCTAGACGGGTGGCAAAAGAATCCCTAAACCCTACACCCAGAACTCCCCCTAAACCTGGCAACGCCAGGTTGTCCAGGTCGACTGAAGATCGAGGCTCAACTGGATTACGGGGCAGGTCGGGAGTCACTTCTTGCAGACAAGGGTTTAGGGTTTAGGGTTTAGGGTTTAGGGTTTAGGGTTTAGGGTTTAGGGTTTCGGGTTTAGGGTTTGGGGTTTAGGGTTTAGGGTCCGGTGCTTTACCCGCAGAACCTGTGCATGCCTGTGCCGTTCAAGTTGAGGGATCCACTCTTGCTCTTGGAGACGGTGCAGGCTCTGGTGGAGATTGCATGGAAGCTGAGCCCAGATTCCGTTGAAAGCCTAAATCCTAAGCCCTAAAATCTAAACCCTAAACCCTAAACCACTCCTAAACCCTAAACCCTAAACCCTAAACCCTAAACCCTAAACCCTAAACCCTAAACCCTAAACCCTAAACCCTAAACCCTAAACCCTAGAAACGTCCCTAAGAGCTCTAAGCGCGAACCAGCCCGCAGCACGTTTGGATAGCCAAGGCAACCTTTGGGTGACAGGCCCGGACCTCCTTTGCCGTTTAGGGTTGAGGGTTTAGGGTTTAGGGTTTGGGGTGAAGGGTGAAGGGTGAAGGGTTTAGGTTCCCACAAGACCGGCTGGTCGTTTGTAGGAAAGCCCGAGGCTCCAAATGGCAGTTGATGGCAGGGTCCTTCCCGTGTTTCCCTGAACACGGAGGAATACACTCCATTGTAGAGACCAACCTAATTGGGGCTTTACGACAAAGGAGACCCTAAAATAGACGACCAAATAGTCGGATTCCCTCATAGTAAGGACCCCAACAAGGTACCCCTGATTTCGGAAGCCCCCAATTCCGAGAATCGCGACGTTTCGTGCGAGCCAGAGCTGCCAGGCCACCGAAAGCCAGAGTATTGGAATGAGGACGCACTTTCTCAAGCGGAGATTCTTTTCCATTCGGTCCCCTTTAAGAGAGGTATCTCAAAAGGGCCCTAAACCCTAAACCCTAAACCCCACACCCGAAACCCTAAACCCCAAAGCCTAAACCCAAAAGGCCGCGAGTGCCGGCCTCTCCTCAACCTTGTATGATCAGTATGTGGGGGAGGGGGTGCTTGACCTTGAGTTAGGCCCATGAAAGTCCGAAAGCTGAGTTGTGAGCAGAGATCCTCCATCTGACCCTTGCGCGATGTGTGCGATTGAGCCAATGAAGCCTGAACCATCAACCCTATAACGCCCATGCAGGAGGTGGTCCGAGCACTGGGCACGCGGATGCCAGGTGGGCTAGCTTCCGTCACGAGCCCCTGCAAGTTCTGCTTCTTGCCTGCAGGGGTTTAGGGTTCAGTCGTGCCGAGTTCATGGGGCTCTTGGCAGCAATGCCTTGGCTGGATGTGGTCGACCTGAGAGTGGCTTGAGGGGCAAGCTTCACATCCGATGTAAGTCTTGAGCCCAAATGCCTGCCCCTCAGGCCACAGCAAGTTCTACCCATGCCTCTGCGAAACTGGCTTCAGGGACGTCCCTCACACGCCATTCGGCTCGAAGGGGGGACTTGGGCAGATGGTGGTGTTGCCACGGTTTAGTGCGCTGCGTGCTCGGGCCCGAGCCCCAAGCTCTTGGGGCCCGAGACCCCAGCCTAGATTTCCATAACCTAGACAACCGGAACAGCCACCACCCTCAACCCGAAACCCGAAATTCTAAACCCTCCCCCCCCACCCAGGCGTGCCCTGGTAGCTCCGCGCGTGGTGCGGGAGGCTGCGGGGCTGCCCACAACCTCCAGGAATTTTAGGGCCCTGAGACCGGAATCCGAAGTTCAAGGGGCCACCACACACAGGCTCCAGGTCCTGAACCTAGGCTTCTTTGGGGTCCCCTTTGGCATCAGCAAGAGACAGCTTGTGAGGTTGTTGTGAGCCCCGAGTGTCGGATTCACGACATTTGCGCGGGGGCAGGGCGGGGGGGGGGGCTTCCGAGTTAGGTCCCAAACGGATGAGCATCATTCATATGTATCAACATTCTTGGTATTATTCTTATCATTATTATTGCTACTATTATTATTATTATCATTAAGATTACGTTTTAGTTTTATTATCACCGCCATTGTTTTTTTTCTATTATTGTTGTTATTATTATCATAATAATAATACTAACTATAATCATCATAATTGTACATAATTGTACTGATAATACTACTAATAAGAACAAGAATAATAGTAGCAATACTTGAATAGTGTCATTGTAAGAATAGTGAATGTAGAGCCCGACATTGGGGCAGCTAGGCTAGAGTTTGTGGGTGCGGTGTCATAGGAGGGTTTTCGGAAGCTCCCACATGGGGGCCTACGAAAATGTGGGACCCCGAAGATACTCCCATAGTCATAAGGACCCCAAGAAAAGTACCCCACCCCCCCCTGAAACAAAGCCCAAACCTCCCCCCCCCTTTTTCCAAAACCCTCAAATAGATCCATCTTTCTGAGCCCAAGTGCAAGCATGGTCGAGACAGGCCGAAGCCCGACGCTTGAGCGCCAAGCCGCCACATGGCACTGTTAAGGTTTTTGAGGTTGTTGGGGTCTTGAATCATGATCGACAACACAAGGTTGCTTTTGGGAGACAGAGAGAGGGAGAGCGCAGTTTCCGGCCACTTTGCTTTGCAGGATTGGTTTTTCGGTTGGTAGAGCTTTTGCCGGGAGTTTGGATGGCAAGCCCTGAGCCTGGGCTACCGAACATTTCCGAAGCCCGAAGCCTTACCCCTGCCTCGCGTGACCCCCGTAAGCCCTATGCCCTAAAGCCACAGAAACTAGACCCCCCATCCCGGCCTCCCTTGTGCTAATGTTAGGGACTAAACCCTAAGTCCCAAACCCTAAACCCTAAGCCCGAAGCCCTAAGCCCTAAGCCCTCAACCCTAAACCCTAAACCCTAAACCTCAAACCCTAAACCCTAAACCCTAAACCCTAAACCCAAAACCCTAAACCCCAAACCCCAAAGCCCAAAGCCCAAGAGAAGCAGAGGATGGGCCACCTCCGGGAGCTGGAGACAAGCCTCGACATCTGTGGCATGGAGAAGGACCCGAACTGCATGGGGGGGGGAAGGGGGGGGGTGGGGGGGGCCTTTGCCCAATTTAGGGTTTAGGGTTTAGGGTTGAGGGTTGAGGGTTTAGGGTTTAGGGGTTTTCCCATTGCGGCATCACTACTCGCGCTATTGTGAGTGGTCTGCTGTTACCGGGCTGCTGCATCACGAGGCCTGTTGCAAAAAAAAAGGGTTTTCCCAAAATGGGGATCAGGGTAGGCTGCAAAAAAAGAAGAAGGGTTTGGGAAGAGTTTCGCAAATGGGGGTAGTTTTGTGGTATGCTTCAAATCACTACATAAGTGGCCCCCTAAAATAGGGTGCTCCCTATTGTCGGAAGCCCCCGTACTTGTAACCGCACGTGT